AGCACTTGGCAGCCCACCTGCACTTACGACCACAGGGGCGCTTCAACTTCCCCACCCATCTATCTCCCCACCATGTATGCCTTTTTGCCCCCTGTGGCAAAAAAATGGTCTTTTGCTTCATGCTGCAGGGGGAAAAAAGCCCAGCCCTGCCCAGGAGCTTTTGCAAGGGGGCATTTTAGTGCACTGTGGTTCTGGGGCTGCTTGCCATGCCCCAGGAAGCCGCAGCCACCCTGGCCGCAGTTGCTCTCATCACCCTGCACTCCGAGGCCCCTGCTCTCCGCCGCTCCAGCTGACCTTCGCCGTCTTCTTGCTCCTGCTGCTGACGAGGCCTGCCCAGCCTGGCTGCTGGGCTGGGCTGGGCTTCAGTTGCAAAAAAAAAAAAAAGCCAAAAGCAGCCCCAGAACCACAGTGCACTAAAATGCCCCCTTGCAAAAGCTCCTGGGCAGGGCTGGGCTTTTTTCCCCCTGCAGCATGAAGCAAAAGACCATTTTTTTGCCACAGGGGGCAAAAAGGCATACATGGTGGGGAGATAGATGGGTGGGGAAGTTGAAGCGCCCCTGTGGTCGTAAGTGCAGGTGGGCTGCCAAGTGCTCAAATTTTGATCATGTGACCATGGGGGTGCTGCAGTGGCCGTAGCTTCGGGCACCAGTTGTGAGTCATTTTTTTCAGTACGTTTGTAACTTCAAACAGTCGCTGAACGAATGGTCATAAGTCGAGGACTACCTGTGTTTACTTCTTTACTAGCTTTGAAACATCCCTTGTCTACCAAACCCCAAAAAATGGGCAAAGTGGAGAGTCTCCTTTCATTGCTTTGGAAAAGTGCCTGCCTTCAGCTTGTAAAGGGCATCTATTGAAGTTTGCTTCAGCTGTTTGTTCAGTGTTGGAGGAGTCCCTTGTGTGACCTGTCTTCAATCAACGATCTCCATTCCTTGGCCGTAGAAGGCAAATCAACTAATTGCCCGCTTTTGCTTTTTCAACAGAACAAATAGTTGAAAAAGATGAGGGGCCATATTACACTCACCTGGGGTCTGGACCAACTGTGGCATCCATCAGGGAACTTATGGAGGAACGGTAAGTCACCTGCAGATCATGAAGAATTTGAAAAGAAAACATCCCTGTTGGTATATTAATCTTCCACGTGAGGTCTTGGGTGAAGCCAGCCCATTTTCCAGCTAAGTCAGTGGCAAACCCCCTTTGTTTAAAGCAGGGATAGGCTTTAATTTATTTTCGCTGAGGGCTTCCCACGGGCGTTCTTCTCCCTCTTTCTTCTGACTGCCGCCCCACGTAGCAGGCTGCTTTCAGACGGGACGGATCTTGCGCTTGAGACTGCTTGCTTGCGAACGGATTTACAAGGAAGGTAAGGGCCTGATAAAAGGTGACCGAGGGGTGGAGATCACCCACCTCATGGAGGAAAGAAACTGAGTTTGTCTCCACCTGCTCCTATTTCAAGTGAACAGAGTTATCCAAATCCCTGAGAAACCCAAGGAGAGTGAAAGTGAGGGAGAAGAATGTTTCTGGGCCCCCCTTTCTGAGGACTTTTTCCTTCCTTAAACAGTTCTGCTCTAACTGCACAGTGGAAAAGAAATGGTTTCTGCTGGATCCAGGGCTGGCATACAGGTAGTCCTTGTGTTACAGTAGTAACTGGGACTGGGATTTCTGGCGCTAAGCGATGCAGTCATGAAGCATGACATCATGTGACTGCATCGCTTAGCAACAGCACTCCTGGCACTCCCTGTTGCTGTCATTAAGCGAGGATTGTGGGTTGTTAAGTGAGGACCTCCTCACAACTTCCTGCCAGCTTCCAACAGTCAAAGTCAATGGGGAAGCTGGCAGGAAGTCGCAAGTCCCAGGTGTCTGGCAAGCAGGCTGGTGGGCAGGTAAGTGGCTGCTGCCAGGCGCACGAGGGTGCGAGGGTGTGCAGGTGGCTGCTGCCAGGTGTGCAGGTGGCTGTCGAGGTGCAGTGCAAGCACAGCGGGACGGGGTGGCTGCTGCTGGGGATGTGAGGGGGTGTGAGGGGCCACTGAGGCGCAGCAGGAGTGCAGCAGGACCGGGGTGGCTGCTGCCAGGCGCATGAGGGTGCGCAGGTGGCTGCCAAGGCGCGAGTGCAGCAGGGCCAGGGCTGGTGGGGGGGAAGGTTGCACAGGTGGCTGCTGCAGGCGGGGGGGTGATGCAAGCACACGAGCGTGCACTACCGAGTACAAGATCCCCGTGATCTCGTATTCTGTAGCTGGGCTCCTCGCAGAAAAAAGCTGCGAGAGTGTGAGCGACTTACTAGAGTGACTTGCAAACTTCCTGATTGACTTTGCTTGTGGGGAGCTGGCAGGGAAGGTCACGAATGGTGATCATGTGACTGCAGGGCTGCTGGGACAGCCAGAACATCGAGGACCGCTTGTTCAGCACCATTGTAACTTCGAACAGTGGCTGAATGAGTGGTCTTTAACCAAGGACTACCTGTATGGAATATAAATCTAATAAAAATTTGAATATAAACAAAATCAAATAATAGAACCTTAGAGTTGGAAGGGCCAGTTAGGCCATCTGTTCAGTCCAGCCCTCTGCTCAAGGTAGGAATCCAGTTTCAAGCCTCCTGGACAGATGCCTGTCCAGCCTCTATTTGAGGACATCTGGGTCAACGGTTCTAGTTGTTTTCTCCACTCCACTGTAGGATTTTGCATTTGTCACTGATGAAATTTATCTTGCTGGATCCTGCCCATTGTTCCAGCTTGTCAAGATCCCCCTGAATCTTACCACTCTCCTCCGTTTCTCTGTCATCTGCAAATCTGATGGTTTGAAATATTTTCTAATCCCTCTTTCAAGTCAGTTATAAAGATGGCCCTGCAGTGCATCATTCAGCACTTCCCCAACTTTATGTGGAGCCACTGATGTTCATTCGTTGTGCACTGTGTCCGTCCACCAGCTCTGTGTCCATCTAATGGTAGCATAGTCCAGCCCACCTTTTGGTATCCTCTGTACTAGGACTTTGTGCTCTGCTGAAATCAAGGTACAGCATGTCGCTGCATTTCCCACGTCGACTAAACTGGTTGGGTACGATATATTCTTAATAAACGCATGGTGGCTCCTGCCAAGTAATGCATTCTTTTCTAAGTGCTCATAAACTGTTTAATAATAATGTGTTCCAAAATTCTGTATGATGTTGACATCAAGTTGACCAGATCCTGGCATTGTGCTCAGCTCCTTGCATCATCTGATGCCCAGGCCACTTGGTGAAAATCCGTGTGCCTTCCCCTGCGTAAAGTGCCTGCCTGGGCACTCTGTCCTGTGCAAAGAAGCCCAGTGTTCTTCGTTTGGACGAGCCAGGTACAAGTTGCTGTCAGACAGCCTTCTAAGGCAGGGTCCTGTACGGGGGCTGCAAATAGCGCCCTCCCTTTCTGCCTGGTTAACCTGATCTCAGTCCAACCTATGTACTACGGTATGGATCCACCAAAGAGTCTTGCCCAGGAGACATCGAGGCTTGTACTGCAAAGAGAATGCAGGGGCGAGCAGATATGGAAACGGATGGGCTTATACCCCTGCAGCTGACTCACAGGCTCCTGAGTGCTCTGAGTCATTCCGAAACGCAGTCTCTCTGAATCACCCTTGAGTCTCAAGATCAAGGGCGCTGCTTCAGATGCAGGCGAGAGCCTTCAGGTTACTGGTGCTGCTCCCACTGGAAGAGGATCCTTCTGAGATGGTCACCTGCCGGGACAGGCACCTATTCCTTCTTTGCTCCTCTCCCAGAGATTGAAGGTAGTCCTGTTACCCAATCCTCCGAATCCTTTTTTCTGCTTGCCATAATGAATAGAAGTAAGTGGGTCAAAGCAAGGGGGTTCATCAGGTTGTGTGAATACCAAAACCCAGCCAGGACTAGGAGAAGAGTAACGCAAAGCAGAGGCTTCCACAAGATCCAGCACTTCTGTCAAAATGATGAAAGCAGTGTTGTGCCATTGCAGTGTACGCTCTGCCCTTTTTGCAAGTACGTGTGGCATCGCAATGCCTGTGTAAAAGAGGCGGAGCTTACATTGCCTTGATGTGGTTTTGCCATTCCCCCCTCCCCCCTCCCACTGGTTCATTGCTGATCAGGCCAGTTCCACGGCTGGACAAGAGCGGCTCTCCTGCCAGGAGTTCAGGAAACAGTCAGATATTCGTTTGTGTAAGAGCTTATAGTTGGCACCCCTTCCAGCAAAGCTCTGCTCCCCCTTTCAGCAGCCAGGGCCCTCCCTGGGCATGCTGCTGGGATTCCGCAGTGCCATGCTCTGTAAGGTGCTGTCAGAGACTTGGCTCTCCGTCTTCAAAAAGGAAAAGGACGTGGGAATAACGTGACCTGCCCGCTTTGCATCGTGGCCGCTCAGACTCTCTAAGCGTGTTACGGGGAGCTTCTGGCCACCAAAAAGCTGCTCCTGGTCCCTGCCCACCGATGGCAGCACAAAGAAATCAGCAGTGACCTGCAAAATGCACTGAGCTGGCTTTATGGGTGGTAACTGTGGCCAGGGTACTTTGGGCTTGTATGGGAAATCCCACTAAATGCCTTCGTTGCACAAATGGCAGTTTAATCTATGGGAATAGTGCATCCACGTCCGAATCACTTAATACATAACAAAGAAGGCTGGTGTTTGTTTCATCTCCGCCTGCTGCCTCGCTCAGGCTTGAGTCTTAATCAGAGCCTCCTTTTATATTTTACTGTAAAAAACTCTGCTAATCTAAAACTTGCTTCTAATAATAGTCGAATAGTAATACTTTCAAAACTCTTACATCTGGCTATTGATCATCATCATCAACTTTAATGAGTGAAAGTTTTGTGAAACCATCTTTATATTTTTTAAAATTCAAGTTGATATATTAGGGTAAAAGGCTTCTTCCAGTGGAGCGGTTTCTACTTTCTCCCAAATTTATTTCATATTCTGCAGACTTTTCCATGCAATGTTTGTGTTTTGTGATTTCTGTTTCTGTTTCTTTTCTTTCTTTTCTTTTTAAAATAAATTTTGAAAGAGAGGAGGAATCAACAGGGCCAGATGGACTCTTGCTCGTGTAGCCCCATCAGAGCCTGTTGTGCTAATGCTGTGCCTTTTCCCACCAGGTATGGTGAGACGGGGAAAGCCATCCGAATTGAAAAGGTGATCTATACCGGGAAGGAAGGAAAGAGTTCTCGCGGCTGCCCCATCGCAAAATGGGTCAGTGGGGGAAATTTAACATACCGTAGAGAGTTGAGAGGAATGTTGTTGTTTGTGTATTAGGCTCTGTCTTTTTAGCCACGTTTATGTAAGTAGAGTGTGTAAGCTGGTCAGTTTTGATTGGAGTGACCTCTAAGCCCTGCAGATAAATAGAAGGGAAAGTGTTGGTGGAGGAGGAGTGGGGGGTCTTTTCAGCTGTGATGGCTCATAGAGCTGCCGTGCTTAGAGATAGGCTATCTCTGATTTACCTTTTGCAAGAGCGCAGCTGTGGGAGAGGTTCTTACCTTCAAGTCCTCTGGCATGAGTCTTGTCCGCCCAGCCAGCTTGGCCTCCAGTTAGGGAGCAGGGTCCCATCCAGACAGGCTCGGGCTTCCTGCAGGAGTCCACGGCTTATGGAAACCAGCTTTTGTCATGGCATGGCTTTGTCCAGTTGAGGCTGAGTCTTGCCAAGGTTGCCTTGCCCAGGGAGCCAATCCTGGCTGCAAAAGGAACAGAAGGGGATCCCTTTCTCTAACCAACCAACATCGTTGCTTGCCTTCCAGGTCATCAGGAGGCACAATGTGGAGGAGAAGCTGCTGTGTCTGGTGAGACACCGTGCTGGCCATCACTGCCAGAATGCTGTCATCATCATCTTGATTTTGGCTTGGGAGGGGATCCCTCGGTCCCTGGGGGACACCCTCTACCAGGAGCTCACTGACACACTCACAAAATTTGGAAACCCTACCACCCGGCGATGTGGGCTGAACGATGAGTAAGTTCCTCTGACCCTTCCCTGAAAGCTGGAGAGGAACGCGAAGGGAAGGCTCTCCCCTGGCTCCCGTTGTTGGTCAGATGTGTTAGCAGCCCTGCTTTGTGTTGGTGTGGTTCTCGCTTTCCTGAAGTATGCTTTGAACTGGGAAGCAAAATGGTTTGCTTTCGGCTTCCACGTTATGTCTGTTGCAAATGGCCCTGCAGCACAGAGACATTCACTAGAAGAGAACCTTCTGCTTCTGTCACGATAAATCTATTAGAGTTTAGATGCATTGTTATCTTTGCTTCATGGGAAATGGGGGCTTGCATTGGGGAGGCGGTAACCAGCCTAGAGTGAGGCAGCTGCCTTGGAGCTTTAAGCCGTTTTAGAGTGGAGACCTCCTTTTAATCCCATCTGATAAGATCAGACATTCTAATTTTTTACCATTGAATTCCTTCTGTTTCCTTATTCCTTTATTTTTCCTACTCTGTCTCTGCCTGACTCTTTTCTTAAAAGAAGATGACTGAGGACTCTGTGTAAGTGTAAACCCACTCAAGGGTGAAGTACAGCCTCATATGCTGGTTTAGAACATGGATTTCAGACAGAACAATAAGTAATAATAAAACCCAGACGATACATAGAAAGATACTACTAAGTAAACATAAAGCTTTAAAAATAATAAAGAGTTTAATTGTAATCTATTTTTATTTCAAATCAACTCCAACCTTGACTAAGGACTTTTCTGCACTGCAACCTTAAGCTGCTTGACTCCTCTGTGGACACTGGCTGGAAATTAACCCGTTTTAAAAAAGAAAAGCTTCAGCCTTTCACCCATCCAGCGGCCCAATGGCTGGCCTCTGAAGATAGGCGTTCCTGCCACAGTACACAGAAGCCAGCTTCTGTGGAGTGGAGGGGTCGGCCTACAATGAAATGAGGGACGGCAGGGGAGCCAGTCTGTTCCACCTGAGCCAGCACAAGCCAGGAGACACCGTTGTCGATCTGTAGCAAGAGAGGATGGTCCCCTCTTGGGGGGCTGAGGGGGACAAAGAGAGGATGGCGTTGTACATCCCTGCCGTTAGTGGCCTGAACCTGCACAGGGCAACCAGGTCGTGCGGATCAGCCCTAAGCTGAGCTCGGACACGTAGATTATACAGAGCACCCAAGAAGGCTAGTCAGGATATGCTAGAAAGTTTCCACTGTTATAATTTTATTTTTTTAAAGAAGGCAGTAAAGCATTCTTGTTAAACTGCATTATATCAGTGACTGCAGGGACTACTGGCATTCTGTAATTCTTCTTTAATTAAACTAAAACGATCCACAGATACAACCTCACTAATAAACTTCCGCCACTTTATTTATTTATTCAATTTATACGGGCGTGCATCGGAAACAAGTGACTGGGCGACTGACAGCAATAAAAAAACCAGCAAAAGAACAACAAAACATACAAAATAAATAGACAGTTGCCAGATGAGAGATAAGCAACAACAACCCCCCCCCAATCATTAGTACAAAATATTCAAGAAAACTAATTCACAGGCTCCAACAGACACTCTGACCCCCAAGCCTGGTAACACAGTCATGTCTTATGGTCCTGTGAAAGGCCAACGGGGTTGGGGCCAACCTGATCTCTGATTTCTTCCTGGGTCCCACCAGGTGGCATCTTTGATGGACAGGACCTATAACATGCCTCTCCCCTCCTGGATATGATGGGATGGGTAGACAGTATCGGGGAGAGGTGGTCTCACAAATAACCTGGCCCCATGCCATGGACAGCTTTATAGGTAACCACAGTATCATCACCTTGAATTGAACCCAGAAGCACATTGGCAGGCGGGGCAGAGGTGTACGTATGGAGATCGTGAGGTGCCCATAACTCTTTGCGCTGCTGCACTTTCTACTAACTGCAGCTTCTGGATGTTCTTCAAGGGCAGCCCATGTAGAGCGCATTGCAGTAGTCCATCTGGGAGGTAACTAAGACGTGTGACCATGAGCAGAGCCTCCCAGTCCCAGAACAGGTGCAGTTGGTGCATAATGCAAAGCTGTGCAAAGGCTCTCCTGGTCACAGCCACCAGCTGTTCCTTGTAGGAGACATAAATCAAGGAAGTCCCCCAAATTGTGCACCGGTTCTGTTTGGGGCTGTGCAACCCTACCCAGGTACCCTCGCTTAACAACCCTAACCGGGACTGGAATTTCCGTTGCTAAGCAAAGCGGTCATTAGGCGAAACAACAGGCGACTGCCGCTTAGCAGTCGCAGTTCCAGCAGTCCCAGGTGTGTGGTTAAGCGAGGGCGTCTCTTGCTCGCTCCGTCCTGTTCCTTCCTCCCCAGCCAAGCCCAGCAAGCTCCCTTTGGCAGATGAGGCTCTGATGCCCTGCTGTGCTCGCCTCCACCAACTCCCACACCTGCCTATCTCCCCCCATCTCTACCCCTGCTGCCCCCCGCTGATCTTCGCCGTCTTCTTCCTCCTGCTGCTGGCCTGGGATCCAGGTGCTGGGCGGGGGCACGCCCCAGGACAGAGCTGGTGGAGGAGGCAGGGGGGCGATGTGGGCAGTGGCCCCCGGGTGAAAGTGGTGGCTGTTGGCACCATGCAAGACCTCTGCTGGCTCCGTCCCACTGCCTTCTCCCTGGCCAGGCCTGGTGAGCTCCATTTAGCGACAAGGTTCCACTTGGAGCACGCATCCCGTGGTCACGCCCTCACCCAGCACCCGGATCCCAGGCCAACAGCAGGAGGAAGAAGATGGCGAAGGTCAGCTGGGGCCAGTGGGGGGTGGCAGAGGTAGGCAGTGGCGGTGGAGTGCAGGACAGCCAAGAGGGCAGAGATATAGGGGAGATAGGTGGATGGGAGGAGTTGAAGTGCATGCTGCGGTCATAAATGTGGGCTGGTTGCCAAGCGCCCGAATGTTGATCACATGACCACGGGGGCACTGCAACAGCGAAACTTCAAGGACAAGTCATAACTACCACTCATTCAGCGCTGTCATACCTTTGAACGGTTGCTGAATGAATGGTTGTTAAGCAAGGACTACCTGTATGGAGAATTCCTGGAACTAGGGGGCCTTAACGTTCAAAGCCACTCAGCCTTGCTAAGGTTCAGTTTTGCCCCATCCAAACCCTCACAGCCTGTGGACACCGAGACAACCTCCATGGCTGGAGATACAAAGCTGGGTATCATTGTCCTATTTATGGTATCTCACCCCGTGGTGTTGGATGACCTCGCCCAGCAGCTGTATGTAGATGTTAAACAGGAGCGGGGAGAATGTTGAACCCTGCAGCACCCCACAAAGAAAGGACTGTGGACAAGACCTTTCCCTCACGTCAACCGCCACCATCCCTGGAGGAAGAAAACTCGCGTGACGCAGTGCCACTCATTCCCAGCCCCTGAAGCCAGCCCATAAGGATTTCGTGATCGATAGGATCAGAAGCTTTATTATGAGTGCTATCTATATTGTGTCAGTTGTGATACAGCCAGCTGCCATTTGCTTAGGAAGTAAGCATGTCTTACAGCTGAAGGTGCTGATGATGCTGTTCTGGTCATGTGCTGACTGGGCCATCTGGTCGTCTAACTGGGGTGGGGTTGACTCTGGGTAGGGCATCCTAGGATTCCTTGCCACAGACTGGATAGCCTGTGCCTCACCACTCCCTTTGGATTCATTGCAGCCGAACCTGTGCATGTCAAGGCAAGGATCCCAACACCTGTGGTGCTTCCTTCTCCTTTGGTTGCTCTTGGAGCATGTATTTCAATGGGTGCAAATATGCACGGAGCAAAACACCCAGGAAATTCAGACTTCAGGGAGATAATCCCAAGGAGGTTAGTGTCCTACTCATTCTTGTTCTAGAAGGATTTATCGGAATCTCCCAGTTTAAGAGATGGAAGAGTAACAGTGAAGGATGATGGTTTTGAGGAGGAGCTTTTCTCTCTAGGTAGGCAGCCTGAAATATCATAGACTGGTGTCTTGCTTTCAAGAGAATGAATAATCCTACAAAAATATGACATTTGCTGCTTAGTCCAAATATAGTACTTGGAAGGAAGAACCACTATGTTCATCAGGTTTTCTCCCAAGGCTTCAGCCTTAGTCACGGAGGAGATCTTATCTTTTCAGGCAAAAAGAGACAACATTATCTAATGCCATTTGGGGCTGTGGAATGTATTTTACAAAGACTGTGTTCTGAGCCCATCCATCCTGCGGTGGTGTTTGGGCAAAGGTCGCTCCCAGAGCGAACTGCTTTGAAAACCAAATTTTCCTCCCGATAAAAAGTGCCCTTGGAAAGAAGATGGGGCAAACAGCATGTTACCTAATACTGGGGGACAATGAGGGATTGGCTATATTTCTTCCTTCTCAAGCGCCTGAGAAAGGGGCTAGTAACTTCAGAGAAGGAAAAGAGGGGAGCCTGTGAACCTTAATCTTACTCAGTTGTTTTGACTTCCAAATTCATGGGAATCCTGGCGGGAGTAAAACAGCTGTGTGCGTAGCTCATAGCTGTACAGCATGTACCTCAAGCCATGGGTTGGGAAGATGTGATCGTGTTTGTGTTCATTTGCTCTGCCTGAAGAAAGGAAGGGCATTGCTCTGAGGGAAAGCAGTTGCTTTGCAGGGAAACGGCTCCAGTTCAGTTTCTGCAGCAGGCTTATTCCGAAAGGATCTTGGAGCAGAAAGAGGAAGTGTCTCTAGGAGTTGCCACTGACAGAACCAGGCTTGCCAGGGAGACCAATGGTCAGACTAATGAGCTAACCTTGACCTTCTCTTTTTCCAGGAGGAAGTGCTCAGAAGAAGCTTCCAGGACTTAGCTACAGAGGTTGCACCACTTTATAGGAGGCTGGCACCCCAGGCCTATCAAAATCAGGTGCCTAGATAACTTTTCCATGATTTAGTTGGGTTCCTAATAAACCCTACCTATCAGATCTGTAACAGGCAAAATATGGAATCCAGTAGTTGAAATTCTTGAAGGCTCTACATGTCAAGAGCTGTCTTTCTCACATGGAAGATTGGTTGCTATTCACTTTTGCTACAGTGGGGCAAAACTCTCCTGCATTTGGCCTTTGGGGGATGCAGTACATCTCTGCATAAAAAACATGGGAGAGCTTCAGTTTGGCCTCCGGATCTCTTCCTGTTTAGCAGTTTGTTGTCCCCTTGTAAGAAAGTTAATCTGGAGCAAGCTGAGAGAGAGATCTTTCTCGCAAATCAGTCCTGCATGGGTCCAGCCGCTCAGAAAGTATTCCGGCTGTCAGTGAGCTCTGGCTTGCTTGAAAAGAGAATAAAAGCAGGGTTGGCCTTGACCCACTTGCCCCCATGGGTTGTGTTTGTATTGTGCTTAGCCATGATGCACTTTGTGTTTGGGAATGGTGAATGCCATTGCGATAGGTGTGACCCAGTCCATGTCTCTAAGCTGCCCTTCCTCGTGTCTTCCCTTTGTCAGATGATAGGAGGAAGGTCTTCCTGTGCTCAGTTAAGGCCATTTTGAAATAAAATCTTGGAGTTATCAAGGGATCTGATCACAGGTCTTCCAGATTACATGGAGTTTAGCCCAAAGCTGCATCCTCTTACAGGATTGGGGGCAATCGACTGAGGGAATGGGTAGCCAAAGACAGTCACTTTATCTTGGCCTCCTTAATGTTGCTTTTTCCACATTAAGGCCATAATGTCAAGCATGCTGCTATAACACAAACTGCTTTTCTTTCCCTTTTGATTAGGTTGCAAATGAGGATATAGCAATAGATTGCCGGCTTGGGCTGAAAGAGGGGCGGCCTTTTTCTGGAGTGACAGCATGCATGGATTTCTGCGCTCATGCACACAAGGACCAGCACAACCTTTACAATGGGTGCACAGTGGTAAGGGGCGGTTTTCATTTATCTTCAATTCTGTCTGCAAAATAGTGAGGGATCTTGCAGCATCTTAAAAATTGAAAAACTAAGTATAGTAGAAGCATTCACGGACTTCAGTTTGCATCATCAGATGCTCATTACAGTTCAGACCTTTGAAGTATTTGATGAAATGGATTCTAGTCTGTGGACATATCTGCCGTAATTACTCTTTGCTGTTATTTTCCAGTAAAAAAATCCTTTTTTTCCCTTTGCAAAGCCACCAAGTTCAGTCCACCTAGTCAGAATATCTATAAGAAATTAAGGGTGGCTTTACACCACTATGTCCAACTTTCCTAGCAAGTGTCCTCACCAGTGAAGCATGTGCATAGAATGTGCACGTGGTAATTAGTAGAAGGAAGATTCTCTGGGACTTTTGGGAAGTGCCATGACATTAAACCAGATATGTTAATAGTGCAGATATAGCCTGAATTAATTTCAAATGGTGGTAGTGCTGGGCTAAAGGAATCCTTCTGTTGGTGGAAGATAAAGAAGTTTGCAGCTGCGCCAAGATCAGTTGCCATTGCCTTGTGGTTTCTGGCAGGAAGCTGAACTGGGGCAATGCTAAATATAGCCAATGGTCACTTTTGGTTTTTTTTTATAGTAATTTTATTAAAAATTACAACTACAATGATAAAAAACTAATACAAACTAAAAAAAGAAAAAATAGAAGATGCAGAAAAGAAAAAACATAGAAAAGAAAGAAAAAAATAAGAATATAGTAAAGAAAAAGAAAAGAAATATACAAAGAAGTGACTTCCCATCTTCATTACAACAAGTATAAACAATTTAGTAACTTATCACCTTCTCTTAAAATACAACAGATGTTCTCTTCCCATGTCCCATCTCTTATCTATAAACAAATCCTTAAAGACTCATCATTTCAGTCCTGATCAGCAAAAGTCCATTAAGGGTTACCAGAGATTACAGCATATCTATTTTAACCTTGATCAAATAAACCAACTTTATATTCCTTCCTTTTGCTTCTAACGATCTTGATCTTTAGTCCTTTCAAATAATGTCCTAAAACTTGATTTCTTTTCATTTTTTCTTGTCCCTTTTCACAAAATTCTTCAAAGCTTTAACAAGTCTCTTTTATAAATCCAATATAGGAAGATTATCCAGATCACTCTCTTGGTTTCTTATTTGTATATCCCTATTAATTTTTTGAGACATCAGCCATTTCTTTTGAATGTCCAGTGTGGCATCTTTTTCCATATCATTCTTGTAGCCTGTCATTTTTAAATACAGTACTGTGAAAATGTTTTAGGCAGGTGTGAAAAAATGCTGTAAAGTAAGAATGCTTTCAAATATATATATTGTA